GGACAGCTGCTGGGGGCTTCTTCTGGGGAGGCTTTTGTGTGCAACCTCTGCTTGCACCTTATCTTGTGTCACTGCTGACCTAGGAGATGGAGTGTTCTAGACTAGGACTGTTCCTGCTCAGACCGTGGGGATCCTTGTGCTGGGCAGAGCTCTGGAAATGCTGTGTCTTGTTTTTTTTGGGCAGTCCTGTGATTTGCCAGAGGCCCCTGCTGACTGTGCTCATTCGTGTCCCTCCAGGTGGTGTATCTGGCCAGTGAGACCTTTAATTACAGTGCCATTGACAGGGTGAAGTCCCGAGGAAAGAGGCTGGCCCTGGAGAAGGTGCCGAAAGTTGGCCAGCGCTTCAACCGCATTGGTCTGCCGCCCAAGGTAGGGCTGCCAGCCTCCATGCCTGCCTGTTAGCACCTCCCTGGCCTCTGTGGCCTTCTGTAATGCAGCCCGTCCTTGCTTCAGGTGGGCTCCTTCCAGCTCTTTGTGGAAGGCTACAAGGATGCAGACTACTGGCTGCGGCGGTTTGAAGCCGAGCCGCTCCCGGAGAACACTAATCGGCAGCTGCTGCTGCAGTTCGAGCGGCTGGTGGTGCTGGATTACATCATCAGGAACACAGGTAGGGCCAGCTGCCTGGCACTGGATGCTGCCTGCTCCTTCATGTCCTGCCATGCTGGAGAAAGGGGAGGTAGATGGGGTCTTTGTGGCTTTTCCCTGCACCCGAAACTCCTCTCCCCTCGGTTGCTGGCAGGTGACATCTGCCTCTAGGCAGAGTGCAGCTGCTGCGCTGCTCACCACCTGAGGCTCTGGCTGCTGGCCAGTTTACTGGCAGATCTGGATCCACCATGGTGCTCAGGTGAAAGTTTGCCAAATGTGAGGATGCAGGGACATCCAGAAATCCAGCACTAACTGTGCCCCTGTACATCCCATTTCACACCGTGGTCTTGAGTTTCTACTAGGCTGGAAGGGATTGAGGTTGCACTCTGGGGCTTGCAGGCTGACCTTTCTCTTGGGAGCTGGTGATATGTGGACCTCTAGGGCTGTCTGTGAGTGGCTTGATGTGGCTCCCCATGCCTGCAGCAAATTTAAGGGCTCTGCAAGTTTGTGCCTCAAATGTGTCTGTCTCACTTCTGGGTCAGAGGAGTAGTCTTCTGCCCAGCCTGGTGCTGCAGGGAGGCCCTGGTGCTGACACAGCTGATTCTGTCTCCCTGCAGATCGGGGCAATGACAACTGGCTCATCAAGTATGACTGTCCCCTGGACAGCGCGGGCGTGCGGGTGAGTGGCTGCTCCTGGGCAGGGCTAACATGGGAACTCTGCTTCTGGAAGCTGCCAGCTTGGCAGGCATGACAGGAATTTCCCATCTGGTTTGGGTTTCCAAGTGTATTGAGGCCTGATCTTGTCCCCTGGGCCTTTTGTTACCATTTTTGTTGGTGGCTTGTGGCCTAGTGGGACTTCATGAGGATGCAGCTGAACTCTGTAGGGGAAATTGGTGTTGCTGGACCTTGGAGTGAGACCTGGGGGGGAAACAGCTTTGTCCCCACCCAAAGCAGGCTATGTTTCCCTGTGCTTAAGGTGCCGTGCTACAGGCAAGAGGCTGCTGTGCCTCTGTGGTAGCCAGGGGCTGCAGGGAGTAGGAGAAGAACTGTTCCTGCTGGGAGGACCTCCTTGTGACATGCTTCACTTCCTTCCAGGACAGCGACTGGGTGGTGGTGAAGGAGCCCATCATCAAGCTGGCTGCTATAGACAATGGTTTGGCCTTTCCCTTGAAACACCCGGACTCCTGGAGAGCATGTGAGTCCCTCAGGCTATGCCAAAGCCCCGTGGCAAGCCATACAACTCCATGCTTGGGCATCCTTTTCAAGGATTGTAGAGGAGAGGGCTAGGGCTGTGCCTCTGCAACTTCTGAGTTCACAAGCAGCTCCTCAGCAGAGACTGTAGAAGGCAGATGCAGGGAATCTAGCACCCAGGAGCATGTGGCACCATGTGTTGCTTTCCCCAATTCTAATGTCTCCTGCTTTCTTCCACAGATCCATTCTACTGGGCATGGCTGCCCCAGGCCAAAATCCCCTTTTCACAGGAGATCAAGGACCTGATTCTTCCCAAGATCTCAGACCCCAACTTTGTCAAGGACCTGGAGGAAGATCTGTATGAGCTCTTCAAGGTGAGCTGGAGGAGGGGATGAAGATGATGTGGGAGGAGGAAAAGAGCGAGTGGTGTTGGGGAGCTCCCAACAATCTTGCAGGTTGCAGGGACAGAGAGATGGTCAAGATCCTTACAGTGTTCCTAGGCTGAGACACAGCAGGGTTATCCTTCTGCCAGAAGCTGAAGATTCAATGTGGGAGAAGCAGGAAACCCATGGGACATGACAGGGGATGTGGCTTCCTTGGGGAATAGGCATCTTGTTCACTGCATGAAGCAGAGAGTGGATCTCATTTTGTTCTTTGCTCTCTCTCTTGCAGAAAGACCCTGGCTTTGACAGGGGACAGTTCCACAAGCAGATTGCTGTCATGAGAGGCCAGGTAAGCTGTGCAGAGTTAAGACAGACGGCTGAGGTAGGAAGCCTTGTCCTACCTTTGTGGCAGGAAGGGTGCTGGAGTGGATGCTCTGTCGCTCAGGCATTGCTCTGTTGTGCCATACAGATCCTGAACTTGACTCAGGCGTTGAAAGATGGGAAGAGTCCACTGCACCTGGTTCAGATGCCACCTGTGATTGTGGAAACTGCGCGTTCCCACCAGCGCTCCGCCAGTGAGTCCTACACACAGAGCTTCCAGAGCCGGAAGCCTTTCTTCTCATGGTGGTAGCTGTGGGAGCCATGGGCAGGGCTTGGCCACCTCGGACTAGCACTGCGAGAGGAGCTGGGCCACTGCTGGCTCCTGTGGCTGGGACTCGACCTTCAGGGTAGAGTGAGCAGATGCGACTGGAGGAACCTGCAGCTGAACTGGAGGAGTCAGGCAGAATGGGCATGGTCCCTCCCCAGCTCCATTGGAGCTTGGTGCCCTGCCTGGGGCAGAGGCCAGGGGGAGGTGTAGGAATCTACCAGGAACTGTGGTATGGCTGGAACCCTGCTCCTGCCTCTGTTCCTTGGCCTGCATGCGGTTCTGAGCACCCCTGCTTGGGGCTGGGATGAACGGGCTACCTGAGCCAGGATCCGTCCAGCCCTTTACACCAGCCACTGGCCCTTTTTTTCCCCACCATGCCAGCTGCCAGGCTGGGAAGGCCTTTAGTAGGTGATACTCCCTCCCTGAGGGTGTGCTGTACTCCTCCACTGTCCCTCCAGTGCCCCAACCCCGTGCACGCTGCTTTCCTCAGGGGGAGTTCCTGCTGCCCACTGGCATAGCGGGGACCACAATGAACGGCTGTTCTCTGGCTAGAGGCTCGAGGAGGGGACATAAGAGGGACAACACATGGGGCTGGCTTGGGTGCAGTTAGACACTAAGGCAAAGAAGGTGCTGGCTTGTCCCTGTGAAGGGCAGGTGGCTTTGCAGAGCTCTCCCGTGGGAGCTCTCCCCTTTTGCCCCACCCCATTTCTCCTGCCTGGTCTCCATAGCTGCTCTCGCTTGACTTTCTTTCCTCTCCCAGCAAGCTCCCTGGCTGCTGTGCAGCCAGCATGGTGCCAGCCTTGTCTGTGCCTAGGGACCCTCTGAGGGGCAGGGGTTGCCAGGGAAGGGCTGGAGGGGCTCTTCTGCCACAGGGGTGGGAGCACTGGGTGACCAGCATGGACTCCTGGCTGCCCTGGAGCTGACAATCTTGCAGGCTTGCTGTGGCTGGGGAGGCAGGGAGCCCCTCTCTCACCAGCAGCTGCTGAGCTTGTGTTGTATAAAACAGCACCAGGGTGCTGCCTGCACCTGCTTGCCTTGAGCTGTGACTTCTCAGGCTGCTGGGGAAAGTCAGTGTTGGGTCTTGCTGTTCTGTTAGCCCATCTTTGGGGAGTGAGAGGGATGAAGGCAGGTGAACCTGGGAAGGCAGAGCAGCTGCTTTGTCTACTGCAGTGGGGAGGGGGCTCAGCACTGGCTGTGTAAGCACAGAGGGGGCAGCAGTGGAGATCCCAACTCCCCAGCCAGGCCCAGCTGCATTTGACTGACCCAAAATGTATTGTTCTAATGCACTGTAGAAATGTATGTAATGTATTTAAACCATGCAACGGTCTGAATAACAGAGCTGCCATTCAGCTGGCTACATCTGTGCCTAGAGCAGGTCGGGGTTCCTCGGCCCATGGCTGGTATCCATGTGTACCTGTACAGGGATGCACTAGCTGCCTGCAACTGCTGAAGCTGCTGCAGGACAGAGTTCCCTTCCTGTCTGCTCATGATGGACATAGAGGGCAACCAGCTGCTCAGGCTGTCTCTTAGCATTCTGTCTGCAGATCCTGCTCCAGTCTCTCCTGGGCCCAGTGGCTCTTGGAGAGGGAGCTCTGGAGGCTGGAGATGAGGCTGCCCAGCTGCTGCTTCTCCTCCTCGAAGTGGCCACATTCAGACTGCAAGGCTGCTTCCTGTAGCTGCTTCTCCTCCTTCAGCCACAGGACCATGCTCTGGAGTTTTGTTATTTTGGCAGTGAGGCTGAATACCTCCTGCTTCAGCTCCTCCAGCTTCAGAATGTCCCTCATGACTGCTCCATTCTCCAGGGTCCTACACTCTTCCAGCTTGGCCAGCTCCCTGGAGAATCTCTGTTCTCTCTTCCTAGTGTTCCTTCTCATGAAGGGCAGCATGTAGCTTCTTCTTCAGTTGTCCCTATGACTGTGCCAGGGCAGTTTCTGTGTGACTGTGCACTGGAACAGATTGCCCAGAGAGTCTCCCTCACAAGAGATATTCAAGAACCATCTGGATGTGATCCTCTGACATCTGCTCTAGGATGCTGGGAGGCAGGGAGGCTGGAATAGGTGACCCACAGGTCTGTTCCAACCTGACCTCTGACGTGGGGCTGTTCCCCTTGCAGTAGGTGCTGTACAACAGCCTGGACCATGGTTCTGCCACTCAGGGATGAGCAGGACACAACCAGAGCCTCACCCAGCCACCACTGTCTATCCTTTATTAACCATGCATTGCACCCTGCCCAGTACACTTAGGGTCCTGGGAGAGCTGCTCTCCACGCCCAGCTGCTCAGCGCTGCTACATGGAGCCCGAGCCCGTCTCGGCCCCGCAGTCACCCTCCAGCTTCTTCTCCGCGATCCTAGGGGCAAAAGGTGTGTGTTAGTGGCCTGGCCCGGCCGCGCTTCCCCCGGCTGCCCCGCCGCCGCGGGCCGTACCTACCGAAGGTGTTGGAAGCGCCGTAGCGCTGCCATCCCACCGCCGGGCTGGGTTGTTCGTCGTCGCCGAAGCCGCCGCAGGGCCCGCGCCATGCGCCGCTGGCCCGCGTACCGCCAGACGAGGCGGGCGCGCTCCTCGGGCCGCTCGGCCCCGCCGCTCCGGAACAGGCTCCGCAGCTCCCGCAGCCCCACGCCCTGGAAGATGTTGGCCGAGGCCCGCTTACGGGCGCGGGCTGAGGGCGCTGCGCGTCCCGGAGAGTCGCTTACCACCGAGGCCGGAGTGCCCATGGCCCTGGCCGCTGCGGGCACCGAACAGTCGGCGTCAGGCTCCCGGTCCGGTCCGCCTCCCCCGGGATCCGGCGCGGATGCCCAGTGAAGAAGGGGAGGCGTCGGGGGAAGGGCGGTCCGGGACGCCGGGCAGGGGGCCAGCCGCACAGGCGCGGCCGCCCGGGAACGCGGGAGACGCCCCGGCTCGGGCCGGGGCACGCAAGTCCGGTCCCGCCCTGCCTGGGGCGCTGGGCCCCGCCGTGACCCACTTTCGCTCCGACGCTGTCCCGCACCCACCGGCCCCTCGCACAGACCTGGCGGTGGCGGCTCCGCCTGGTGCCCGCTGCGTTCCCGGACCCGCTTCGCGCCACCGCGCCGAGGTCCCGCCGCCGCCGCGCGCCCCATTCATTCACCCTGCGTGCCGGCCCCGCCCCCCGCCAATCCCCGCCCGCCTCCCGCTGCCGCCACCAATCGGCGCCGAGGGGCGCGGCTGCCCCGCTTCGCTAGGAGGCCACGTGGCGCAGATGACGTCACGGGCGGGGTGCGAGGCCTCGCCCCCGGGCGGGGCCGCGCCGCTTCGCGCTCCGAAGGGAATCCCGGTGACGTAAGGGGAACCCCGGCGCGCGCCCCGCGCCGGCCGCCGCTCGGGGTCCCGGTGCGCTGTCCCTGGGCCCCGCCGCCGGCATCGGTCGCCGTCCCTCTCGTCCTCCCGCCGCCCCACGCGCCCCGCTTTGCGGCCCGCCCCGGCGGCGGCGGGACGGGCGGGGCGCGGCGGTCCCTGCCCGACGGCGCATCCGCGGCGGCCCTCGGCTGTCCGATGGGCTGGCGGGAGGTGCTGCGGGGTGTGGCGGCGGGGCGGGGAGGAGAGGAGAGAGGCCCCGCGCGGGGAGGACCGCTAAGTGCCAGATGTTTGGCAACAGTCAGGGAGGAAGTCGCTGCCGGGGCCCTGAGTCCCGCCCGAGCCGCGCCGGAGTAGGCAGGGCCGCGCCATGGCCCGCACGGCTCCCCCGACAGTGCCGCCGCCCCCGGGGCCGCCGGCCCGCGGCTCTCTCAGCCTCCATCGCGCCTACCTGCGGAGCCCGCTGGGCCTGCTACGCCTGGGGCAGCTGGCTCTGGGCGCTGCCTTCTGGGTGACGGTAGCGGCTCATAAGTACGAGGGGGCGGCCCACTTCGCTCTGTTTGCCGCCGTCCTCATCTGGCTCCTCACCCTGGCCCTCTTCGGGCTGAGCCTGCTGGGGCGCTGGGAGCTGGTGCCCTGGCTGGGCTCCCGCTGGCTCCTCACCAACCTGGTGCACGACCTGGCACTGGGTGTGGGGCTCTACGCAGCTGCCACTGGCATCATGGGTCACAAGGCCAAGCAGAGAAGCTTTTGCAACCTGCCGGGCTACAGCCAGCACTGCCTGTACAGTGCCTACCTGAGCGCCTCCATCTGCGGGGGCATCACTGCCTGCCTGTACCTCTTCTCCGGGCTCTATTGCCTGTTGCGGCGTTGCCAGGACCAGCGAGACATCATCTGAGATCCCGTGCCGCTTGGCTCCCCTTCTCAGCCGCAGACAGAACACAGCCTGTCTTTGGGAGGAAACGACCCTGCCACCCCATCCCCTCCTGGCTGACTGCACTGCAATTCCTCCAGAGACTCCTGCACAGACGGACGGACAGACAGAGGCCTTCGCGGAGCACGGCTTCCCCTGCAGCGCACCGAGGCAGCGTGGACACCCAGCCACTGCACAGGCCCTTCTCCCAGCCCTTGGCAGACGTAGGCTACTGCAAGTGGAAGGACCCAAATGGAGAGCCCCTAAGAGGGATATCAATCTTTGGGAGCTCCCCTAGGACTCAAGCCAAAATCCCCTGCCCCTGGTCTTGCAGATGCTGCATGCTCAGGTGGGTGCTGACTATTCCCTGGGGTAGAGAGGGGATGCCTGGGGGAGCTGAGCTGGGGGCAGCAGCTCCTAGTGGAGTTGGATGGGCATAAACCCCCCATACCTGCTGGCAGCCCCGTCTTGCCATTCCAGCTGCATGGCGCCTCCACAATTCCCTAAAGGAGGCTCTGAACTTGGCTTCCCCAGCCTGGGCCCCTCCTTTCTGGCCTGAAAACATTCTTTATCTTATTGGAGCCCCAAAGGGCTCAGTGCCTTCCTGCCCTGCACTCAAGGGGTATGGAGACACCCAGGTACTGCACAGCCAGATCCAGCATCACCCCAGTCCAGTTTGGAGGATGAGAAGGGCAGCAAGGTCTCCATTGTGGAGGGAGAGGAAGGACAAGTGGAGCCGTAACCTGTTCTGTGACCCTGGGCAGGGGGTAAATTCCTCCAGCCCTGGAGTTTGTGCAGCCCTGGGATGGAGCCAGGTGCCCCAGAGGTTGAGGGGAGCCAGTCATGGGGTTGTTGTCTCCTCTCCTGCTGTCCCTGCAGAGAGGTTTGGGGCTCCAAGCCATCCAGAGCCACTGAACCAGCCCTGGGACCAGGCTACTCCAAAAGGGACAAAAACAACCTCGCTGATGGTTCTGGAGACCAGCCTGCAGCCCTGCCTGTCTCTGCCGCACTTGGTTTATCATCCTGGAAAATCTTAATCTCTGGACTCACTGGGAGTGGGCAGTGCCTGGAGACTGTGGTGAGGTGGAGGGGAAGGGTGAGCATTGCAGCATGGCAGTGCTAGGCTGTGCTGGGGAGCTGGGGCCAGGCATTGTGGGATCACAACCTATCTTGGAGAACAGAAGAGGACACTGGCACTGGAGCCAGCCCAGCCCTGGAAAGCCAGCTTCCTGAACCCATCAGGTGTCAAGTCCTGACGAGGCCATGTAGGGCTGACTAGAGAAATGGGCAGCCAGAGACAGAATGTTTGGAGCAGAGCCCCACTAGGGCTGCCATGCCTCAAGCCCTCCTCACCCTGCCTGGAGGCAGGTCCTCTCTATTGCTCCCAGTTCGAGGGAGGGTCTGCTCCAGTCTCTACATAGACTTAGATCAGTGATATGGGTGTCCCCAGCAGCTGGCCACAGCTGCCTGTTGCCTGGGGTTCCCTGGCGCCTTTTTTGAGGTGGAGAGCAGCAGCCATGATTCCCCTGGGTGCTTGAAGGGGTCTGGGATTGGTACTGGGTCACCACTTCCATCATGATGTGCTGTCCCAGTGCACACCCCATCATGCTCAGGGCTCCTTCCAAGCCCCAGGCCATGTACCCCTTCCTTGGGTAGGACATGCTGGCTGTGCCTTGTGTCAAGGCTGGTCCCTGACACTGCCTGCCTCTGCCTTACTCTGGTGCAGCCCTTGGCCCAGGCTGTCCAAAATGCCCTCGGTGCTTCTGCCAGCACAAGTGCCTTCCCCTGGCTTTCTGCAGCCCTGTCTGTCACACCAGCTCTATCCCCCTACAGCCTCCTTTCAGGTGCCAATGGATTCACCTTCCAAATAAAGCAATGTTGGCGCTCACTGGGTGTCTGGGGCTTTGTGCTGGGGCTGGGACCTGCTGGGTATGAGGTCTGAGCTGAGATCACACCCAGCTCTGTAGCCCTGCACCCTGAGGCCTCTCTGCTTGGAGTCTCTGGCCATGGTCATGAAGTCCTGGGGTGCTCTGGGGTCACAGGCAGGCTCTGTGGCCACCTGAGCAGTGGCTCACCTGCTGAGCCACTGCTCCTACTATAGAGGCTCAAGCCTCTGCCCTTTGGGACAGGGACTATCCCTGGCTCTGCTGCCTGTCCAGAGACTGGGCACAGCCTGATGCTCACATGGGGCTCTGGACAGAGCAGAGGGAGGCCAAGTCCCCAAGGCTGTGGCTATGGCATGTACTGAGGACAGGATGTAGTTGCATTCCTAAGGACTTCGTCACTCTGTTCTGAAAGGGCCCTCTGTCCCAGGGCCAGGGCACACTGGGCAGTCATGTACAGACTGACTGGCCCTTGGTGGGTCGGGGCCAATGGAGGGCTGCCTGCATCTCCCTGGACTGGCTGCAGCTCTGGGATGCACTCTTGGGACAAAGTTGAGTCTTGGACCTGGACCTGCAGCTGGGGTGTCGCTGGGTCCCCAGCCTTCTGCCCATGGGACACATGCCCTGTTCATCAGCGGCTGCAGGCAGTCAGCAGCAGCATTGTGCCCTCATTGTCCAAGAGCCAGCATAGGGTTAGAACAAGGTCACAGCTTTTGGCATCAGACGAAGCCCTGATCCCTGGAGCATCCCTGGGAGCCAGCATCCCTGCTCTACTACAAGCACCTTTTAGGACAGCCCATGGTGCCCCGAGCAGGGCTGCAGGTGCTGGTCAGGACAGTGTCAGGGCACCCAGAGCTGGGATGCTTTGGGGGTATGGAGGGGCAGGGAATGAGCTGCCAGCCACGCTCACGGGCCTGTGCAGAAGCTGCTGCTCCCTTCCAGGGACTCCGGGTGTGAGGCTGCTCCCTGGTCTCTCCTCGGGGGCAGGTGGCCCAGCAACCTCATGGGGACAAACCCACCGTGACCGGCACAGCTGGATGCAGGCCACGCCACGACCCAGACTGAGACTGAGCCCTGAACCTGGATTAGACCCAGATCAGTGCCCAGCCCTGGACTGGGACCGGATCCAGGCTGTGACCGAGCCCCACACCAGAGCAGACCCGAATCGGGACTGGACCGGGACGCTGAGCAGCCCAGGGCCAGGGCCGGCCCCCGTGTCTAGACCGGGCCCACCGAGACTCCGGCTCGAGGCTCACGCCCAGAGCGCGCTGGCCCGCGGGCCCCAGCGGGGAGGCCGGCTCGCAGCGCGGGCGGAGCCGGGCGGGCCGGCCGGCGCTCCCATTGGCCGCGCGCGGAGTCACGGCGCGCCCGGCCGCGTCACGGGAGCGCGCGGCGGTGTTGGGCCGAGCGCGGCGGGGCCGCTCGGCTCCCGCTCCCGGTCCCGTCATGCAGGCGGTGGAGCGGGACGGGGCGGCAGGCGGCCCCGAAGGGCCGACGGGGGCTGCTGAGGCCCCGCCGGAGCCGTCTCCGCCCAAGGCTGCCGCTGCTTTCGATCTGCTGGAGCTGGTGCGGAGCTACCGGCGGCTGGAGCTCTACCTGGAGCCGCTGCGGGACGCCGCCGAGGGTGTCCGCTCCCTCCTGCGGTAGGTGCGGCGTGGCTTCCGACCGAGACCGGGACCGAGACCGGGACCGTCCCCGGGGTCTCATGTCCCTGGCCTTCCCCCCTCTCGGCAGGTGGCAGCGGCCTGTGTGCTCTCTCCTGGTCTGCCTCGGCCTCAACTTCCTCCTGCTCACGCTCGGCCAAGGTGCGTCTCGGGGCTCAGGGCTGGTGCCGTTCCCGGACCCTCCGGGCTGACGCTGTCCCGCCTCTTCCAGCTGCCTGGTACTCGGTGCTGGCCCTGCTGGTCGCGGTGCCGGCCCTGCTGGGTTACCTGCAAGAGACGTGCCGGGCCCGGCCCTCGGAGCCCGAGCTGGTGCGCAGGAGGTACCACAGCATCCGCAGGGAGGATCTGCGCAAGGTGCAGCTCTCGCGGCAGGAGGCCATCGCCCAGGTCAAGAGCTTGTGAGTCCCTGGGCCTCCCCAGCCGTGGGACTGGGGGGGCCTCTGCAGCCAGAAAGGCTTCTTGGGGGCTGTGGGGGGCCGTGGGGGCTGCTGTAACTCACGAGAATGTGGGGAACGAGGGTGTGTTTGTTTTGTGACTGTCTGACTGTTTCGTTCGCAGCCTGATCCAGCTGGAGGGGTTTCTGAACGGGATGTGCTGCAGCTGTGAGGCAGTGTACCGTGTGCTCTACTGGGAGAACCCCACTGTCTCTTCCCAGTGAGTAGTACTGGGTCAGGCGCCCTGTGGTGGCCTTGGTGGGGAGAGGGGCTCAGCCAGGCCTGCGGTGCTGTGTTTGATTTGTTTGGTGATTGGAGAGAACAGATGGAACACCAGATGAAGGAAGGCGTTTTATGCTGTTGTGTGAGTTGCTCTGACTTGACCACAGTATCCTGCTGCTTTCTGCAGGTTTTATGGGGTGCTACTGGGCACTATCTGTGTCCTCTACCTGCTGCCCCTCTGCTGGGTCCTGGCCATCCTCAATAGCACCCTCTTTCTGGGCAACACCCAGTTCTACCAAGGTATGAGACCTGGCTGGAAGTGCCTTGTGTGGGATGGGTTGGGAAAGGCCCTCTGAAGCCAGGGATCCTTCCCTGGACCTCTCCCTCACATGATCCCACTGTCCCATGTCAGGCTCTGCCGTAGACCCTGAACCCCTGTGAAGGCAGTGATGTCCTAGGGGTGGTGCTCAGCAGCCCAGGGTGGGGGGTATGGTCCCGGGGCTCAGCTGTTGGGGGTGAGAGTCTCTCCTGATGTGTGTCCCAGCCCAGGTGCCATTTCCTTCTCTGTGGTGTGGAAAATCAGGGTCTGTCAATGCAGGCTGTGTGTGAGCCTTTCCATCTCTCTTGATCCCTGACCCTGCTCTTCAGGACTTCAAACACATTCAGTGCCTGTGGCAGTATATGACACAGGCTTGAAAACATGCCATTGGAAGGGAGAGGAGCCCTCTTCTGTGGCTCGTGCTGGAGGAGTGTTGGATGTGTCTGAGCTGTGATGTTGGCCCCTGCTGTTCCCTGTCCTGAGCTGGGGCAGGTGGGGGGGAGCTTCCTTTCTGTCCTAACTTTGATGTGTGTACAGAGGAGTGCTCAAGACATCTGATGAGTGAATGACATGTGTCAATGCCTCACCTTGAGCCCTGGAGATCAGGTCTTGCTGTTGGCTTTTGTGTGGGAGTGTGGCTGGGAGTAGGGAAATGCCATTCTACTCCAGCTGTATTCCCCTCTTTACCAGTGATAATGGAGCTCAAGGCCTCCATCGAGCAGTGTGTGGGCTCCAAACCCCTCGAGAGCACTCCTGAACCTGCTGAATCCCTGCCACCAGCTGCTGCCCCAGATCGGACCCCCACCCCCACCAGTGCAGAGGTGAGATAGGGGCAGGGCTGGCACTTGTGGGGTGGGAGTGCAGAGTGAGCTCTTGGGTCGGACCATGCCTGTGTCCCTCTACATACAAACTTCTCCCAGCTGCCAGCTTTGCTGAAAGCCTGTGAGCCACTCCTGAGTTACTGGGATGCTGCTCTCTGCCGTGGGGGTTTGGCTCAGTCCTTTTGCCACATGTAAGGATGTGGTCTGAGGAGGCAGGGGCTCACCTCACCTTCTGACACTTGTGTTGTCTGTGAGGCTGTCTGGGGCCAGATCCATTGTCCTGGAACCTGCTCAGAAATGTGGGGCTACCTTCAAACAGAGGCAGGGGAGCAGCAGGACTATCTTTGTGAATCTTTTGTAGGACCTTACCCCTGGCAGTGTGGAGGAAGCAGAGGAGGCAGAGCCTGATGAAGAGTTCAAAGATGCAATTGAGGTTTGAGGCTGCTTGAGTTGGGCTGTGCCTGCCGGGCAGCTGGGGTGGGAAAGGGACAAAGACCTTGTTGGGCAAACGGGGTGCTCAGAGAGAGTGGCTGTGGGGCTGGATGCCTCTGAATCTGTGTGTACTCACTCTCCTCTCTGTCCCATGCTGCGGGAGAAGGAGAACCAGCTGCTGGTCATGGTGAGTACTGCCACGCCAGGGTGTGGTATCTCCTCCCAGCTGGAGCTTTGCCTGGTTTGCCAGTGGCTTGTAGAAATGTCAGGTGGAGCACCCAGCCTGCCTCTGGTGTGGGCTGCCCTGCTGCCCTCAGTGTGCCCCCAGCCAGGCCGCTGTGCTCAGCTGGCTCTGCTCTCTGCAGGAGGATGATGAGAGCTCTCAGTGCTCAGCAGATTTTGACCTCAGCCTCCCAGACAATGGTTTTATGAGCAAAAATGAGGTGATCCGCAGCAAGGTGTCCCGCCTGACCGAGCGCCTGCGCAAGCGCTACCCCAGCAACAACTTTGGTGAGTTTGGGAGCAGGTGCTTCCTGGGGGAGCTCAGCAGCGTGGGGTCTGTGCTGCTTCCAGTGGCGACCGTAGGACTGGGAGTGGAGAGGGTGGTGTGGTACTTGCTAGGTGGTGACACCTCCAATGACCTTTTCCACTTTCCATGGGGAGAATGGTCCCAGCACTCCTAGGAAGGGCAAGGATGGGAAGGTGCAGCAATGTCATCTCTGAATTGAGCCCTTACAACAGCTATAGATGTTCTTGTGCCACTTGCAGCCCCAGGCAGCAGAGCCCTGCCTGACCTCTGCTCTTTCTTTCAGGGAACTGCACAGGCTGTGCTGCCACCTTCTCTGTGCTCAAGAAGAGGGTGAGTCTTCAGCTCTGCCCCAGCTTGCTGTCTGCACCTGGGGCTGAGGTGTTGCTCATGTCTGGCTTGCCCCAGCTTTCTCCAGCTCAGGTGTCTGGCTTCGGTCACAGCCCAAATGACCTCAGCTAAATGCTGGGTGTTGTCACATGCCTAATGGCACCAGGGATCCTTTGTGTTGTGGAGCATTTGTCCATATACTCCTTTGGAAGCTGCCTCAGGCCAAACCCACATGTTATTTAGAAGGTACCTGCTCTGTGCCCTGGTTTAGTCCATTTCCTGTGGCCTTTGTGGTGAAGTAGAGCATGGGTCTGCTAGTGGGAATGACCTGTTGCCTTATCTGAACCCTGTGTGTAATGCTTGGCATACAGTCTGTGGGCAGTTCTCAGAAGGAAGAGGTGTAGGCTTTGGACCCCCTTCACTTACTGCTGGGTTACTCTGATACACATCTGGGTCTCACCTTCATCTTTCTCCACAGCGGAGCTGCAGTAACTGTGGGAACAGCTTCTGCTCCAGGTGTTGTTCCTTCAAAGTCCCCAAGGCTGTGATGGGAGCCACGGGTGAGTTGAAAGGTGGAGGGAAGAGCTTCTGCTTTCCCCTGTTCTGTCTGCCCAGGGGTTTGCCCCAGCCCTGGTGGGGAGGGTAGACAGGATGTGCCCAGCACAGCCTGGCTCAGGACAGAGCAGTGATGAATTTGCCGCTCTAGAAGCAGCTTTGTGGCTGGGGTCCCTAGCCCCTTGTGGGAAAGGGGGATCATCTGTGACATTTGCTTTCCTTTCCAGCCCCGGAGGCTCAGAAGGAGACAGTGTTCGTGTGTGCGCTCTGCAACCAGGTGCTCATCAAGTGATGAAACAGGCCCGGCCAGCTCCTGTGTCCTGCACTGCCTGAGACCTGGGACAGCGGGCAGGCACCCCTGCCACTGGCAGCCCGGAGTGTTTGGATCCCAGCATGGCATTCCCCTGCCAGAGGATGCTTGCACTCGTGCTCCTCCTGCCAGCGCCAGGCTGGACGGACCAGCCTTCCTTGCCATGCACCAGCTGGGTCGCTGTGGTGGAGCACTGCCCACGGCTGTGCCCCATCCCTGCAGCTGCTCCAAGCCCTGGGTGCTCTCTGGCACTTGCTGTGCCCTGCCACGTGCTTGCCCAGGCCCTTTGGCCTGGCTCAGTGATGGAAGAGCCATCCTCCCTACTCGTGGTCCTGCCTTCGCCTCCTGGGTGGGGCAGAACAACCTCAGGGCTCTGTCCCTACCTTTCCCAGCACTGTGCTATAAGTGACTGTATTTTTGGGATCAGTTCAGAGCTCCTGCATTCCTTGATGGGGTCTGCACTAGCTAGGTCTTTCATCCTGGCTCAGCTGAGACTCTGCTAGTCACTCCTGTGCTCCTCAGCCTCACTGCCTGCAGGTTTAGTCTTTCATCCCTGAATTTGGCTGTAACCCGGAGGAGGAAAGGGAATGAGTTTGGATTGGGCTGTGTGGCTGGGTCTCCAGTGTGACAAAAGGCAGGAGTGGTGCTGCTCTGTGCACTTAGTGACTGCTGCTTTCTACTACAGATTAATATATAAATGCATATAGAGAATGACCAATAAATCTCTTGTCCTCAGCTGGCTCTTGTGTCATACCAGTAAAAGCTGTCCCAGTCCCAGGTCACTCTGACACCTCTGTGGCTTTGGCCTTGCTGTCCTTCAGGTGCTCCTGGAGAAGTGGTGTTCCTGTGCCATCAGCTCTCCCTGCTTTACTGGAATTCCCATCTTCTGTCCTGCTGTAGCCTTGTTTGCCCCCTGCTCAGAGCTGTGTGCAGCTGCCTGTCAGCTGTGCCAGGGCTGGATCCTGCTGGGCTGGAGCCAGGGAGCACCTCAGCTCTGACAGGAGCTACTGAGCTTCCTCTGCCTCCCGTGGCTGTGCTTCCCCTGCCCACCCCGGGTGGTGGTCCCACCAGCTGCCTGTGTGCACAAGGATGACCTTTCCTTGTGTGAACAGCAAAGCTCCCAGCTATCCCAGGAATGTGACCCTGGCTGCTCTGCAGCTGGGAGCAGCCATGGCCTGGGTCCCTGCCAGCCAGCTGCAGCTTCCCCCAAGCCAGGGAATGTGGGGGGCCAGTGCCCACCAGGCTGTGACACCCACTAGTCTGAGAAGTTGCTGGAACCCAGACTCTGCAGGCTCTACATCCCACCAGTGTGGGAGCTCCTATGTGGCAGGCAGCCTCAACACTTATCTTGGCTGTGGGCTCATAAACTCCTTCACATGGAAATTTGGAGAAAAGCTGGACTTGGCATTTGATGATGAGGGTGTCTGGCTTGTGCTGGGTGTGCAGAGGGCTGAGCAGTTAGTGGGGGCAGTGGAGCAGCTGTAACATTGGGGAGGGGGCTGAGTAGCACTGCAAGAGCCGGGGGTGTGTTTGTGAGGGTGTCTGCAATGAGATATTACTGGGCTGGGAGGGGTCAGCTTGCTCAGACAGCTGACAGTGGGAGGCAGAGGAGCCACTTATATTTCTAGAGAAAACACTTGGAGCAATGAACACTACGGCCATGTATGTCTGAACACTCTCTGGGAAGATGTTAATGACACAGAATACAGAGGGCTACAGATAAACTTAGGCTGTGGGAGATGGGGTTTTATTTATGCTTTTTAAGCTTTGCAGTAAAATGTTGTCATTGACAGTGTTTATTCCTATGAAAGTGTGCTCCGCAGTCAAGCTCTGAACAAACCAAATAATATTTTAATTTTTTTTCCCATTTTTTCCCAGTGGCCAGGGAGGGCCCATTTTTTTTCCCAGGGCCCATTCCTGGTGCGAGGCTGGGGCAAGGGCTCGTTGGCCCATGTTCCTGGCTGGCTGTGGGGCAGGGGCACAGGCACCTCTCCCTGGCCAGAGCGGGGATTTGGGGCTCTGGAGGCTGACCAGTGGGGCCAAGGCCATGCCCAAGGAGGGCAGAGGGAGAAGAGATCACCCCAGAGCAGGGCAGGCACACTGCTCTTGTCAGCCAGAAGAGGAGGGGTGCAGACATCCTGCAGCCTCAATTTCCTGCTTGTCCCAGGAGGCTCCCTGAGGCCTGGCCAGCTCCCAAGAGAAGAGAGTGTCAGGCAGCCAGGCACTGGGTGAATGTCCTGGCAGGCACCTTCGGCCCCTCGCCCTTTGGGACGGCTGGATACAAGCACACCTGGAACACCGCTGGCTCACTCAAGCTGCCCCCTTGCCTGCGGGGACTGGGGAGGGCGGCTGAGCTGAGGGACAGCCCCTGCTGCCATCAGAGGGGCTGGGCTGAGGGCTGCCCTGGTCCTTGGGCTTTTGGGAAAGTCCTAGCTAGCGCAGGTGGGTGGCCTGAGGAATCATTTTGGAGGAAGCTGGAGGTTGTGGCATGGGAGGTCTGGCAGCCAAGCAGGGCTGGCAGGGAGCTGCAGAGAGGACTTTCAGATGATATGGTGTGGGGAGGACAGGGTTGGAGGCTGCCTGGTGCGGTATCTGCCCACTGTGATGCCCAGTGCCAGGCTTCTCACAAGTGCTGTGAGCTCCCAGACCATGGATTTATCCCCTGGGGTGACAAAGGAAGAAACTTCCCTGGCAAACCACTGCCAAACCCGGCTGTGAGGCTCCAGCAGCAGTGATGGCCCTGTCCCCCCATCCTACTCATCTCAGTGCCCTCCCAGGCTCCCTGGAGTGGCAGGGGTGCCTGTGTCTCCAGGGATGCCTGTGACCACTAGGAACTACATCCCTTGGCTTGGCCGGACTGCCCATGTTCAGGCTCTGGGCACAGCACCTGGAGTGGGGCTACAGCCAGATCCTGAGGTGACCTCGCTCGCTCGGGCTGCCTCGCTCAGTGAGCAGGACTGGGACCCCCCTCCCATTCTTCTGGGGTCCCTGAAGGAGCGCCAAGGGGCTCTTACCCATGAGCTGCAGTGAGTGGCACACAAACTTCTCTGAGCTGGAATAATTTACTGCGGTGGTGGCGGCCGAGGGGTGAGTGGGGTGGGTCACAGCAGGGCGTGGGCGAGGGATGCAGCAGGGCTGGTCTGGGGCACTTGGAGGTGGACCCCCCTCACAGACTGAGCACAGTGTGGGGAGTGGGGGAGCCCAGGAAGGGCTTGTGCAGCTCTGGGCATTTGATCTGGAGGGAGTCAGTCTGTGGGAACAGAGGAGCAAGAGGGACCTGCCTGGGCTGGGCTGGATCTCTGGAAGGTGAGATAATCCAGGGCTAGATGTGAGCTCCAGCTGAGGGCACAGGATGTGTTGGTGGGCTGGAATAGGGACTGGGGGGCTGAGGGTCTGTGGCATATCATGAGGGAGCTGGGCAGAGGACATGGCTGCAGGGCAGGGGTCACAGGTGTGGCAGGGCTCACAAGCATGCAGAACAAGGGTCCCGGGTCCAGACTAAGCTCCTGGACAGGGGTGAGGGCCCTTGGAGCAGAACAGGGTCCCAGGGATGCAGAGAAGGGCTCTTGGGAGGAGGCAGATGTCCTGGCTGTGGATCAGAGCTCCCATAAATACAGCAGGGAATCCTGCAGGTGCGGAGCTGGGTTCTGGGGCACAACCAAGGGGCTGAGGTGAGCGGAGCTGAGGTCCTGGGGTGCAGCTAGGGAGGCCAGGGTGGGATGTTGGGCCAGTGCAGGAGTTCTGGGAAAGGGCAGAGTGGGCAAAAAGCCCTAGTGCTGCCCAGCCCCATAAAGCAGGGGGTGGTAGAGCGGGCAAGGGTAGGAGAACATGAACTTGACTGCAAACTTCATCTCCTTGTTGTGCTTCTGCCAGGGGTAGATGGCCAGGAGGAGCAGGCGCCCGCCCACCTTGCGGCCCATGACCAGGAAGCTGCCGCTGAGGCTGTCGAGCTGGGGGCAGGGGCAGGCACCTGCGTTCCTCATGTGCAGCACCATCTTCTTGGTGTCCTTGCGCTTCAGCGGGCCCAGTTTCAGCACCTTCTTCTTCTGGGCAGCCACCAGCCGCCGCTCCCCGTTCTCCTCCGTCACCTCCTTGATGCGCATCTTCACCACTGTGTGGGGCAGCGCGGGGCACGGTTGGGGAAGGGAGCGCTGCTGGGGAGGGGAGGGTCTGGGCCAGGCACCTGTGCAGGACAGGGTGCAGCCTATCCCTGGGTTGGGTCTCTGGGGACGTTACTGAGTGGGGAGGGGAAAGGGGGTGTTGGGGGGGGGGTCTAGCAGAGGCCCCCAGTGACTCTCCCAAATGTCTTCTCCTGTGGTGCTCCCATCCCAGGCATGAAGGGTCCAAGGGAATGGCTCAGGGGTCTCCCATGGGGCTGTCCCCATACAACCCCACCCTCTGGCCAACTCCCACCCTGGCTGTCAGACCTAGGGGAGGCAGACCCTTGTTCAGGGGGGCTGGGAAGGAGACCCCAGCACTCACCAAAGTCACTGGAGCACATCTGCTCCATCATGCCATCAGCCTTGTGCTCCATCTCACACTGGGTGCAGATTTTGGACACTGAGGGGAGAGACCAGTTACTGTCACAGCTTCATGCTGCTGGTACTTGTCACCAGGGCCAGCTCCTCGGGGACACGCTTGGGAGAGCCCCAGCAGCTCCTCTGCTCCCTAGACAGCTGTGCTGGGGTGATGCAGAGAGGCACAGAGCACCCTGCTGGCCAGGTCATCCCCCAGGAGGGGAAGAGATATGGGGACACCCTCCCATCAGATGCTGGCACTTTGAAGCACAGCAACAGTAAGGGTGGTCCCAGCCTAAAGGCTGACCCTGACCCTAGGCTGCCTTGGGGTGATGTCCCCTCTCCTGCCTGAGGGGACAGCCACTCTGCAGCAGCGGTGTGGGGCTGGCAGCCGCAGGTGCAGCACGCTCTCTTGCTGCTGACATGAGACCCAGCGGCAGCAGAGGGACGCAGCACCCTCGTGGATCCGCCAGCGGCTCCCACCTCATCCCGCGACAGCTCTGTGCAGGCAGCTGGGAGCACAGTGCTCCAGGGCAATGAGTGCCCAGACAAAGCTGATCCTGTGCCCACTCCTGCCCTGTTACAGACAGAGAGTCCTTGGCCAACACCGGTGTCCTGGGCTGTGCTTTGAGGGGTGAAGGGATGGCTGTGCAGGGCTCCACACCCATTCCCATCCCATTACAGTACCCTTCCCGCTTACCTGGTGGCGGCGTGGCTTTGCTGTTCCCAAACTGGACGGCGATGCAGAGCTCGTGGTCAGAGGGGAACTTGCCACAGTGCAGCATCTCAGGCCAGGGGAAGCCGTAGGACTCCATGACAGGGGCACAGGAGTCACGCACCACCTCACAGAGGGAGCGGCAGGGGTAGACGGGCCGGTCAAGGCAGACGGGGGCGAAGAGGGAGCACAGGAAGAGCTGGGTGTCGGTGTGGCACTGCTTGGCGAGCAGGGGCACCCAGCTGCCAGCCTGCTGCTTGGCCTCGGCCATGGTGTCGTGCTCCAGCAGGTTGGGCAGCCGCATGCGCTTGTAGCCCACGTCGCGGCAGAGCTGCATGTCGGGCGGGATGTCGAGGCACTGCGGCTCCCGCCCGTAGAAGCGCCCGTGGGGCAGGCTCTCGGGCTGCCACCCGTAGTAGTCGTAGTGCTGCCCGCCGCCCAGGGACCCTGCCAGCACCAGCGACAGGGCCAGCAGCGCCGTGCCCCGGGAGCCCGCGTGGATGC